CTAGTGCAAAAACCCGGGACGGTGTACAGTGTGCTTTTGAAGAACTCGTTGAAAAGATTATACAAACTCCTGGATTGTGGGAAAGCGAATCAAACAGCAAAGGTGTCCGGCTGTCCAGTGAAGAAGTGGGCAGAGGAGGTGCTTGTGGAGGATACTGCTCGATGCTATAAAATTATTGTCCTATATTCCTATTTAATCAAATAGTGATAAACAATTTCTGTATATAAAATCATTTCCTCCTAATATAGGGACCTTTCAATTTTGCATATATTTGTTTGTATCATGAGAACAGATATTTGTAGAATACTGTTAATCGGCTTTCCAGTTAGAAAAAGCATGAAACTGTATTTTTTTCGTTACTGGCATGAAGATTACGGACTTGGCGAAGTGCATCAGCTATGATGCCATTGGTTCATACACTTTTTAACCTATTCTAACTTGACACTGTTAAAACTGTGTGCGTGATGTCTTTCATACCATTTAAATACACATTTTGTCTTACCTGTTAACATTTTTGATTGTTATATGATTGCAGCTCACTGATTGATATAGACTAATCTTCACTTGTCTCTTGAGGCAAGTCAAAGCATGGCTAAGCACCCTGTTGTTGTAGAGCTGTCTCATTGCTTTGCAAAAACACATTGTTGTCCAATAGGACATTCCATCTCCTCATGGCTGTCCCTGTCCCCATAAGTCTCCTTTAAGTATTAGTGAAGATATCCAGAATGGCCACAAAGTGTTTCTGTGAAATAAGGGTATTTAAGTCTTCCTTCATTTTCTGCTGTCAGGGCAACTAGATATGAGGAAAAGGGTCACCTTATGTCCATTAAGACTAGCCCTGTTTTGACTGACGGTCTGGTAATCATCTGTTGAGATGGGAATTGTCCAACATTTAAATCTAGCATTCTCATTCTTAGAGCTTAAAGGAGCACAATGTCCTAACAGAACGTGTTGTATGTATCTAACTACCATATTGCACGCAAGCTCTCATTATTCATAATTGACTTTGTAGCGCTCCTTTCTTGCTGGACATTGAAGCCTCACTGTAACTGTATTTTGAGCTGAATGATGTCTCACAGTGCATGTTGTGTCAAGCAACTGGTCTATACAGTTTATAATCAATAAGCAAAATGTATCTGCAAGTCTTTTCACATTTTGCCCCTGGGGCACACGGATCTGTTAATGTTGAAGATGGTTTGAAATTTGTGATTGCCTAATTTTTATCTTTACGTTCACTCTTCCAAATATTATATTGTAGCTGAATCTTTACTAATTAACATAGCCAGTAAAAAGTAATATGAATGGTCATTCATAATGAACTCATTGTAAAAAAAAAAAGACATGTACACAGTGCATTGTTTTATAATTTATTTGCACAAGTTACAGTGGAGTCTCTTCCGTAATGCTTTTAGTCATATTGTGCAGTCTATTGTACATTGCTATACTTGGTAGCATTGGAACATATATTTCAATGAAGTGACATTGCTGCCAAGGACTGTTTGCTGGCTTGCATAAAAAGGGTAGTTCTCAATAGAGAACCTAGATACACAGTCTGAATTTTCCCTGTTCAGGTATGAGTTGCGTAGCACCAAAACTGACAACCTACTTTGTAGTCAAGAACTTCCTGTTGAATAAAAATAAGTATAATTAAATAACACATTTTGGAAAGAATCTGGATGTTATATGTTTCATAGCCATTCCATTTTTTGTGTGCTGTTGTGATATTGTAATAAGGTTTTTTTTTTGTTTTTTTTTCTTGTGACCGTAACCGTGCCCATCTTGGCCAAAGCCAGAAGATAAAACACACACTATTTGATTTGTATTCAGTATGGAAGGAAACTCCTAACATCACATCAGTCAAAACACTCGTTATATAAATCTGAAAATATATTGGATTTTTTTAATGCTTCTTTTAATTGTTAAAATTGGTCGTGGTATATTTGTAACTGCTATATCCAATGCATGTGAGGTGCACAGTGTAAACAAATCCACTGAATGATCTCCTTTGACCAATAAGCATCTGGTGAACTGTAATGGAGTATCAATAATAACCTTTAAATTATCACTATACATGAAAGTACAAGTAAAGACTTATGCATTCAGTCACTAAACTGGGAATTGTGGAGAGTTGCAAATGGGCCGTAATAGTAAAATTGGATGTAAAGAAAAATCGGTTACTTTTCCTGCTCTGCAATTTTTTACTAAAATGTGCAATCTCTTGTCACATCTACATCATTTCGTGAAAAACTCCAACAAAATGATTTTATCATTATCCAGTGTGATGTATTTTTAGTTTAACAGTTAATCAAACATCTGGAAGATTATGGTCTTCAGTGACAAGACTATGAAATCACACCCATCACTTGTTCCTTAAATTTCAGTGCTTACGTGTAAACTCAGAGAATTAAACTTACTACAACTGACACGTCACGGTTTTTTTCTGTTTTGGAATATCATTTGTAAAATAAAGCTATAAAACAATTTTGTTTGTAGAATTTTCATGAACTTTTTAAACTTAGTATCTTCTAAAGTAAAAAATAAAAAAATTAAAATCTCAGCTCCAATTTGAAGAGGCAGTTAACTGTCCATGTAGGAAAAAATTAGAATACTTGTGACCGCCTGGTACCCCAACAGGGTACCTCTGCGAATTGCTGCTTCCTACTACTTGTGAGCACCATAAGCACTGCACTTTACACCATAACCACTGCGAACCCCACAACTCGCCGCAGCTTAGTTGGAGTCTCGCTGTCCTCCGCCTACCCAAGACCAGGATCCAGCTTTCAGTGGGTACACCTCTGCTACTCCAGAGAGCGAAGCAGACTGCTCTTACAAGAGCAATCATTGTGATCCAAGGGAGTATAGTGATTATAGCAATCCCCTGAGTGAATATAGCTCTCCAATCCCCCAAACATGAACCTAGACTTCATGAAGGGTAATACAAACCTCTTTAATGGCAGCCACAACTGGCCTTCTATGCAGGTCCCTAATGTAAGGGACACTCCCCCTTGGACCTGAGAGTAGACTATAGTAAAGACATTGACACGATTGCATTGGCTCTCAGGTCCAGGACACTCCCATACAAAATAGGTCAATCTCTCCCCTGTGCCTGGGAGATAATTGAGTCAGCACTGTATTAAACTCCATTATCTCCAAGCACAGAAAACATACATTTTTACAAAAACCCCAAAATACCTTAACCCCTTAAGGACGGAGCCAAATGTACACGTTGTGAACAAAATGTAAACAAAACCTGGCATTTGCGTTACATGTCTGTCCAACCGTAATTCACCTCTTTCATAGTAAATGCACCCACCCTTATTATATATCATTTTATTCAGGGGAAACAGGGCTTTCATTTAATATCAAATATTTAGCTATGAAACATAATTTAATATGAAAAAAATGGGAGACAATAAGATTTTTTAAAATTATTTTTAGTTCTACATGACATTTTAACTATCAATGTCATAATACTGTTTGCTTTTACTTCAATAAAATACACATATTTGTATTCCGCAAAGTCTCACGTGTAAGACAGTAACCCCTATGTACAGGTTTTATGGCGTTTTGGGAAAGTTACAGGGTCAAATATAGCACGTTACATTTGAAATTGAAATTCGCCAGATTGGTTACATTGCCTTTGAGACTGTATAGTAGCCAAGCAATGAAATTTACACCCATAATGGCATACCATTTGCAATAGTAGACAACCCAATGTATTGCAAATGGGGTATGTCCAGTCTTTTTTAGTAGCCATTTGGTCACAAACACTGGCCAAAGTTAGCGTTAGTATTTGTTTGTGTGTGAAAAATGCAAAAAACGCCAATTTTGGCCAGTGTTTGTGACTAAGTGGCTACTAAGAAAAGACTGGACATACCCCGTTTGCAATACCTTGGGTTGTCTACTATTGCAAATGGTATGCCATCATAGGGGTAATTTTTCATTCTTGGGCTATCATAGGGTCTCAAAGGCAACCTAACCAATCTGGCGAATGTTTTATGTGAAAAAAATGAAACGCAAGCCTTATATTTGAAAACACGCTGTAACTTTTGAAAACACCATAAAACCTGTACATGAGGGGTACTGTTGTACTCGGGAGACTTCGCTGAACACAAATATTTGTGTTTCAAAACAGTAAAAAGTATCACAGCAATAATATCGTCCGTGTAAGTGCTGTTTGTGCGTGAAAAATGCAAAAAACGTCACTTTTACTGGCGATATCATCGTTGTAATACATTTTACTGTTTTGAAACACTAATATTTGTGTTCAGCGAAGTCTCCCGAGTAGAACAGTACCCCCCATGTACAGGTTTTATGGTGTCTTGGAAAGTTATAGGGTTAAATATAGTGCTAGCAAATTAAATTCCCTTTACTTTCGGCATTGGGTTGTCAGGCAGGTCCCGCTAATTGTAATTAATTAAGATACCTAATTATGTAAAAATATTACATAAATATATATGTAGAATTAATATATGTGTATATAATATACGTATGTGTATATATGTATATATCTATATAATTTTTTTTAAATATTTTTATTTATATATAGATATATATATATATAGTGATATATACGTATATATTTATGTATATAGATATATATATTATTTCGTTCTACGTGTATTTTGATATATATTAATTTCACAATACAGTTAGAATGAAAACACACATATATTTTTTAATTATTTATTTTTAATTATTTTTTTAATTTTATTTTTTAACGTATTTACATATTTTTTTTTTATATTATATATAACAATAATTATATATATTTAATCAGTATCAGTCTACGTGTAATTTGATATTAATATATATATATATATATATATATATATTATTATATATTAATAGTAAAATACACCTAGACAGTGTAAGTGTGTGTGTGTGTGTATATATATATATATATATATATATATATGATCTAAGTATATAAAAAAGTTTTTACACTTTTTTTTTTTTTTTTACACTTTTAATTTTATTTCATTTGATTTCCAGCCAGCAGGGGGACCACCTGTCATTACAGGCAGCCCCCACTGCTGGCAATGCTGCAGCCAGCTATCCCGGCCATGTGATTGTGAGGTCCTTGCAAGGACCTCACTCTCACATGGCCGGGGGGCTTCCAGGGGGTCGGACGTGCTGTGGGGGACTCCCTGGGAGTCCCCCCAACCGCGATCACCGGCGACCGGGTAAGTAGGAAAAGACCGGAAGGCATACTATTACGCCCGGCGGCGTTTAGATCCGCTTAGAATAGGGCGTAATAGTACGCCCTCCGGTCTTAAGGGGTTTTAAAACACACAAAATCCCCACAAAAGTTACATCCAATGATAGCCCTGATCTGGGCGACCAACATATCCAAAAATCATGTAGATCAGTTCAGGAATTTCCTGGAAGTCATAATTGGAACAACCGCACGCATGGTCCCATGCCCAAAACAGTTCCAGAGAATCAGGACTTGCGGTCGGTCTAGTTCGGTAGTTTAAAAACTAACAAACTACTGAATATAGTCAATAATCTTACTCTGGAGCTTGTTCCCATTGTTCGTGGGAATGTTTCCACCAAACAGTGTCTTCCAAAGTTCTATAAAACCGAACACAGGCAATCATGTAAGTCCAGCAGTGTTCGGGAGTTTGTGTCCGAAAATAGTTTCATGAATTCGACAACCAAACACCGCTGCCTGTTTTCATGCGAACAAGATGGACGTCCATAGGAATTGCGGCCACCCAGACGAACACTTTCGGTGGAAATTGCTACAACGTAGCAACTAGACTTAAGCTCCAGGGTGATCTCTGGTTCGTGCAACAGTTTGATTCCCAAACCAAATATAAAATCCCACGAACCAAGTCTGTTCATATAGTTTTTTGGTAAGAGGCTGGCCAGCAGACCCCTCCAAGAACACGTGACGAGGCTCAGTTCGTCACAACTATACACTGTATCTTCTTGAAATCATCGCAACATTAACTTATGGGTAGCTTCTCCACTCAGCAGAAAGGGCAGGAATCAGTACTGTGACAATATAAATACTATTATAATATAAATATAAGTACTGGATACTTCTTATCAGTCATTGTGTGTAACTAGCTCCATAACAGTTGTGGAACAACGATGATAATGTATAGTTGCTCTGGATTCAGTTAAGAAAATAAACATTTGGTAAGTTTAGGACTAAAGACAGACTATGAGGACTCTTGAGAACGGATAAAAGCTTAGAGGAACTCAATATCTTGTCCTTCAATTAGACCCCGCTCAGGTCTTAAAATAATTTTTGTACACTTGTTCCATTACAGAGTAAACCTATACCATTTCCTGGTTTGGTTAGCTCCACGAAGCTAAACTCAAGAGACAGGCAATTGCTTAGATCATCTGCCTTGCAAAAACTTCTCATTGAGCTGCATTGGGAAGTATGATTGGACAGCCTCAGAAAGTCTGGGCGAGGTTAGAAGAGGAGGTCTCGTAAAAGAGATCTACAGCTTTTTCAAGCATTTTTTAGATATAACTCCAATGAAAATGTATAATTTAATACATTCATGTTTTAATTGGAGTATATCTGCTAAACATTGATTTTTATTTTGGAAGTGGATTGTCCCTTTAATACATGGGGTTGTGATGGAAAAAGACCTGTGTTTCTGATCTCTCCATAGCTCAGGAAGAAAGAAAAATGAGGATTTTGTGGTTTGTTGTGGGTAAAATTTTGGGGGCTTTATGGCCGAAGATGAGAGGAGGTAAGGTGAAATCATTATCTCAGAATTGGGAGAAGACTTTGACCATGACTAAATGCAGGAAAAAATATCTTGGGGGTGAGGGAGGGGGGTTGCATGTACTTGGCCAGGCCTAGGGCAACATAGTTTCTAGATACGTCACTGGTAAGATTATCACAACCACATGCAAGCCTTAGCTCAGTGGCTGAATTACATCTGAGAGCTTTTTTGGATTGGTTTAAACATAAAGTTTTGAATAATACCATAACCTGCTCTAAAGAAATACTACCTACAAAACATTTTGAAATGAAAACCATATTTGTTAATAATAACATCTTTCTGAAAACAATAACTAGAAGTACATTTTGGCTTCTCTGCAAATTGAAATTTTACAGGAACTTGATGAAGGCATCTGGATAAAGTGAAGCCAATAAAATCCCTTATAAATCAGATTATACGTCAGCATCCAGTAACATTGTGGGAGGACATGCGTACATCAGGAAGTGATCAATGATGGAAGGCTCTGATAGACACAAGACTATATTTTTGAGAGATGTAACTATCTGGGGACTTCTGTCTCGGCTGACGCGTTTTATACCCCACCTACTCTAGACTATAAAATTATAGTAGAGTAGGGTCCTCTTCAACTTATTGTTCCTGTAAGTTTTTGTAATTGTCTCATTTATTGTTAAATCTCCCCCACTGATAATATTGTAAAGCATTTATATTGTACATTTTAGCCTGGCCAGCCCTCAATACATGTAATATGTTTATTAAAGGACCACTCTAGGCACCCAGACCACTTCAGCTTAATGAAGTGGTCTGGGTGCCAGGTCCAGCTAGGGTTAACCCATTTTTTCATAAACATAGCAGTTTCAGTGAAACTGCTATCTTTATGAATGGGTTAAGCCTTCCCCTATTTCCTCTAGCGGCTGTCTCATTCACAGCCGCTAGAGGCGCTTGCGTGCTTCTCACTGTGATTTTCACAGTGAGAGCACGCCAGCGTCCATAGGAAAGCATTATGAATGCTTTCCTATGTGACCGGCTGAATGCGCGCGCAGCTCTTGCCGCGCGTGCCCATTGAGCCGACGGGGAGGAGAGAAGGAGGATCGGAGGAGGAGAGCTCTCCGCCCAGCGCTGGAAAAAGGTAAGTTTTAACTCCTTTCCAGAGCTGGGCGGGAGGGGGACCCTGAGGGTGGGGGCACCCTCAGGGCACTATAGTGCCAGGAAAACGAGTATGTTTTCCTGGCACTATAGTGGTCCTTTAACTAGGCACTACAATTTGGTCAAAATTATGTTAAAATAACCAACTTTCACATGGGCATGCAAATGTGCCCACAAGTGCAATACAGTACACATTTTATGTGATATGATATATGCAAATCTATATCAATATCAGGAGATGAACTGAATTAATGGAAGCACACTATAGTGGAGACAATGTTTGGAGTGTTCCTTTCAGAACACGCAATGCCAATAGCAGCTGCTGCCCAGTATAGTAACTACCAGCAATCCTGGGCAGGCCAGGACATGTAAGATTGTGAGTGACACATTATATGCAAACATTTCTCCTGATCATCTGACAGCCACATTTTGTCACATAGTTTTTGAAACAACTATCATCAACATCCACATATGAGTATCTGTGCTCTTCGAAGGAAGGCTTTTATAAGAAGTGAGGCATTAGACAGACTGATTAGAACTGCCATCTGTGACCAGTGAACTGTGTCGTGTGCCTCTCTCCTCTACCTGAAATTGTGCCCAACTGACTCACACAACAGCAAACCTGCAATTATCAACTAAGGAAGTTAAAAGGTTACTCCAACTACCATGACCACTTTAGTGATTTGAAGTAATCATGGTGGTAGAAGTATGTATGTTCGGAGTTCTTTTTAATTGTGTGCCACGGCGAGTTGCACTAACAGCACACGTGACACTAGCAGCCCAGAAATTACATCTGTTGACAGCACGCACTGAACGCTGCCAACAGACATGAGAATCTTCACCTTGGAGGCAGAACGCCTGCAAGGAGAAGCTAGCTCTCCCCTGACTTTGGGTGACTGCACTCCCTTCATTGCTGCCAGTTCTTTTCTTAAAAAGTACACGCGCTCCGAGCCTGCAGATGGTATCACAGACTTCTCTATGAGAAGCCTGTTATTGGTACGCACATGGTGCCTGTGATATCAGGAGGAGGCATGCAAGTCAACACCGGGAGCTTCGCACCAGTGCTGGAATCAAGGTGAGTAAAAAATATTTATTTGACAGTGTGGCGAAAGTAACCTCGCCACTGGTACTTGGAGGGGCCTGCTTGCCAGCCTCTTGCCCCAGGATTATGGGCCCTGCAAAAAGACATGTTGAAAAGTGACTTCCATGGAAAAACCAAACCACTAAACTGATCTGGGTGATTTTTGATTTTGGGATATGTTGGTCACCCAGATCAGTGTTATCAGAGGATGTGACTTGTGGGGGTAATTTTGGGGTGTTTGTAAATTGTGTGTTTTTCTGTACCTGGAGATAATTATCTCTCAGACACAGAGGATGAGTATGTTGAATGTATTGCTTGCCTGTGCCTCTTCCCCTCCCCCTTTTTCATGTCCTATTGTTTCCCCAGCAGGGCGTTGTCCCAGGGACACTGCCAGACCAGTTTAAACTGGCTGCTTTGTCCCTCCTCAATCTCCCATCAGCCCTTGCTATTGTCTGACCCCACCCTTCCTTGTACTATAGTGCTCTATGTAACCTGTTGTATGTAAATGAGGCTGTTGGGGGTTTAAATGTATGGATAAATTGTAAGTGCTGGCTTGCATTAAACAGCTTTACCCCTTCATGAAGTCTTTGCTCATGTTTGGGGGATTGGGGAACTACACTCTGGGGATTGCTATAATCACTATACTCCCCTGAGTATAATCACTAGCTCTTCTAAGAGCTGCTCCTGCTATGCTCTCTGGAGGAGGAGAGGTCTACCCACTGGGAGCTGGATCCTGGTCTTGGATCCAGGGTGGGTGGAGGACGGCGAGACCCCAACTAAGCTGCGGCGGTTCGTGGGGTCTACAGTGCTTATGGTGTCTGGAGTTATGGAGTGCTTGGAGCCCTCGGAAAGCACTAGGAGCATCGATTGGCGGAGGTACTCGGTCAGAGTGCCAGGCGGTCCGTCACAGGGAGGTTTTAGAGAGATCGGAGCAGGGGACCTGCTCCATAGTGGCCAGTAGCGCATTTTACATAGAAAAGGTCCTACTGCTCCAAAGAGTTAAATAACCCTTTAACAGAGTATTTGATTTTACTAAAGCCTGCTCATTTACAGAGATACGAACATTTTATTCCCCACATCATGGAAATAAATTTAGATTTTATCACACATACATGCCTTTAAAGCATTAGCTGAGAGCCAAATTTCTCTCCCCATTAAGTCACTTACTGTGATATCAACTCAAAAATTGGTTATCATATACATAACATTGAAGCATATCAAAATGCTATCATTTAGGGCTCCAGATACATTTATAAACCTTCAGTCTTGTGGTTTATTATGTTTCCAGAAGCCCTCTATGTTATTTACTCATAATGGACAATTAAGCGTTGTATGTCCTCTCTCTCTATGTATACATACATATGCTATCATTCTGTAAACTTAAAAGATTTGTTTATTTAAGTCTAGGTCGGAGAAGATATAAAGGATAACCCTAGAGAGAGTGGATGCACCTTACAAACTCACCGCTGGCCACCAGATTCTCTCTTAAAGAGTGTTCCAAGCACACCGTTCAACTTCAGTCACGGAGGACTCATTTAGGTTCACTCTTCCCATAAAATATATCGAAGCTTAGCTTCTCTCCGTCTTTCACTACCCACTTCTAAATAGAAACTTTCTCAGTTCCAATCAGAATCTCTGACTTATAAGCCAGTAAATCTCTCTCCTGGGCACACAGATACATTCTTCTTCATTTTAAGTTATCCGTTTCCATCAGTGGTAGCTACGTAGACTGAGTAGTAATCTGCAGGGAACCTCAGACCTGTTGTTGGCCTTATTTCTGCTCCTTGTTGCTATTTCATCTCTTTCATGTGAAATCAGAAAATGTTCTCATAGTTAAATAAATTACAAATACAGTATTGAATGTGACTGACTGCTTTCTGCACCCAGACACCAGCCAACTCGGAAAAAGTATCCTTATTTATGATTTTTCTCCTTTCACGTGCCTAGGAATGATTACTTAATGATGCCTAGAGTTGGCAGAAGAATATTATCCATTTCCAGGATATTATTTAAATATCCAGCCAAATATACTACCAAACTATAAATAATACTAAAATGGGAAACGTATCATCAAGGAAAGATACTTCAAAGAGCAAAGATTTAATTTTAAGGCATAAAAAAAATCTGGTGGAAGTTCAATTAGAAATAATTTGAACAACGGCTTCAGATACATGCACATACGCTTATATATATTATTTATGTTTGTGTTTTCCATCTGCTCAGTGGCCAGTAATATTCTGAGATGGAACATTGTTTTAAAGCCATTATTTGATGTAATGAAATACTATTCCTTTGAGACCTGCTGGTCAAGAACGATTTAGGAGAACATTCTTATGAGGACACCAGAAATGGGTGGAGTTCGTTCACCGCATTATTAGAAGTGCCCAGACAAATATTTAATTGAGCGTGATTTATTTTTCTTTGTGTTCTCAATTGCTCTGATTTATTTCCTTATTGAAAAACAAGATTTCTTATTCTGTTATTGCATTGATATTAATGATAGGATACATAATTTCTTATTTGGGTAATTTATTTTTTGGGGGCACAGATCATGGTGCTCTACATAGTTGGCTTAAGAAAGAAGTAGATAAGTAGGTTTCCATTGACCAGCTTTGTTGGGATGTACGATCAGTTTTTAGAATAAGCCACCTGGTTGTAAGACTCAGAAAACCATTGAAGCCAAACATTTTGTGAAACTAGAGAGTTATTTTTTAAAATTCTTACTCATTCATGCTCATAATATAAAATGGATCTTCCAAACGACTGTCATTGTTAAAAGGACACTTCAGACCCATAAAGTAATTTAGTTTGCTGATGGGTTTTATGTGTGAAGAATGTGTCCTCTTTTTTTTTTTCTTTTTACAAAAATTGCAAATTTCAATAGATTCTAGCTTATTTTATTATATAAACCGTGCCACACCCCTTTGTCTGCCAATCATTTATCAGGTCCCGTTACTTCCTTTTTGTTTAGTTTAAGTTAGTGAAGTTAAACTCAAGAGGCAGACAATTGCCCAGAAACATCAACTTGAACTGCATCGGATAGTCTGTGATTGGACCGCTGGGTTAGTAGGTTAGATGTTTCAAAGGCTGCAGACGAGATCTGCAGCTTTTGCAAGTTATTTTTACATGTATCCCCAATGACAAAAATGCATTATTAAATGCATCCATGTTTCCATTGAGGGTATATCTACTAAACAGTGATATATCTATTTATTTATTTTGTTTGGCCAGCTGAGTGTCCCTTTAAAACAACACGCAGATGTATTCTGTGAATGATAGTAATTCACTGCTCTCTCTTAGATGACAAGGTTTTAAATGGCAAATCATAATTTTGCTTTTAATTCCCGCAATCTCTGTTCCCTCTGTTCAAATACAAACAATCAATCAGACTCTGCTATTACTCAAGATTTACAGTGTTGTCATATGCTTAATAAATTGAGAATAAAGTCATATGTTTGTATCATTCCCAAAACAGGGTATTTTTTATCAAAGATCACACATGCAGATTTGCGGTATCAATGGAAAATTTCACAACAATCTGACTGCAATTCGGAAAAGTAGCCTTTGGTAAGCTCACTGTGTCCGCAATAAGCTTTCTCTGATGTTACATGGCATTCTCATTGAAGCTGAGCAACAAGTTGACTGGTATCTTGTGCATCTGAGCATTGACTGGTGGAGATATCACTTCGCCAATACACATGCAAGAGAAGTCTCTTGCACCTGCACGTGACAAAAATACAGACCATTGGACAAAATAGACACCAGCCAATGTTTTCTGCATTCACATCTATCATCTGACACTCATGACAGATTTACCTTTGGGTTGGTATTGGTTTTTATTTATTGAAAAACAAATACTTTGCTAAAGTGCAAAGGGGTATGCATCCTCTGGCCCACCATATGTTGTGAACTACATCTCCATTAATTCTCTTACAGCCATAATTCTGGCAAAGCATCAGGCGAGATGTAGTTCACAACATCTGGAGTACCAAAGGTTTCTTACCCCTGTTCTAGCATACAAAAATGGGTAAGTGGCTGTGCGTGATGTTGAACCACCCAAAATCTTGTGTCACTCCACAATACCTAGCTTATGGGTTCACACAAGGAGCCGTAGGATGCCAATATGCCATGAGAAGACTGTGCGACTTGAAATGACATTCATTAATAAATTTACCAGTAATTTGTATAAAATATTGTATAACTTACATGGTATTCTCAATAGGAGACATCCAGTTTTTATTGTCATGAAAGGTTCACTTTAAAGAATGAAAATGACTTTGGAGAGAACCAGAAGGTGTGAGATAACACGTTGAACAAGATAAAGATTTAAAATGGTAGGTATTTGCTTCATACATAACCTTCATACATAATTCATATATCATTTATATTTTATCATAAAAGCAATAGGTCTAAAGAACAAGCCATGTAACCACTGATTGATTCTAACTCTGGAGAGAAAAGATTAAAACAAAGTGGTTCGTAAATTGTCAAGAGTTTAAGGTAAAGGATACAACGATTAGCCCAAATTATGGTAGTTAATATTATTATTTTATTATTTATATAGCGCCATCAGATTCCGTAGCGCTGTACAATGGGTACAATAGTTATAGCAAATGAGTTGCTTGTTAGAATGCAAGGTAAGGTACAGTATAATACTATTTTCGCTGGTATTTTCAGAATTGTTTGAGATCTCAGCACATAATTAAACCAACTCTCTTGGTTTTGAAGATAATAGTCCAGTGACTGATACCAGTTCAAGTTTACAAATTGAATCTTTACACATTCTCACTATTTCTCTCATTTCCTATTGAGCTTCCTGTTGTTTTTCGTAGCTCAGAATCAAATTAATTTTGGCCACCATTGTGCAAACTACCATGAGAAGAGTTTGAGGAGGAATTCAATTTCCATTTGCTGAGAACATTTTAATATGCTGATAGATTCTTCATTCACCAGATAAAAAAAGATTTGTAGAATTGTAGGATGGCTTTGTAGTGAATCTGAATCCCCACGCCACTCCGTGACCCACAAGCACAGCGGTACGCCAACAGCAACAGGAGCACCTCTCGTTCTCTATAGCTCTTTGTGGATGTTACTGTATGAAAGAACATAGAATCTCCAAATAGAATGAATTCTTAACAACGTCTGGGAGGGATGTGGAATGTGATCTTTTATTTGAAGTCGTACTTTGTAAAAAACAATTAAATTTTTGCATGTTTCAAATTTAACAGTGGACAAAAAATAGAAATGTCTTATTTTTTTGTCACTGATTAAACTATTTTATTGGGGATTTACTTTGTATTTAACACCCACATGTATGTTAAGTGTGTGCTAAGGAGAAAATGTTACCAACCTATGGCATATACTTTGATTTCCATCAAATTTAAATTGTCCCCTTTTATCTTTTGTCTCATCTTTTCCTGACATTCTTAATCTATATGCATGTTATCTCATAAAGCACTCTAAGGAAACGTGGTTTAAACTCTAGATTAGAATATAGGCTCTTCTTATTCTTTGCATATGTTTATTTGAAGTCAGTATTCTGTAGCGCTGTGCACTGCTACAGTACAAGTGCTTAAATAGTAAAAAAAATATATATATCTAAATAAACATTTAGCTCCACTTTCCTACAAAGGACTCCATAGAACTTAGAGATGATGGGGCAGGAGATAATAAATTCTAAATCAAACATACTGTGCAGTAAGGGAACCTAAAATATTCCTATTTAGGAAGAGTTTAGGAAGGCTGTGCAAGTCACATGCAGGGAGGTGTAAGTAGGGCTAGAGTCTTGCAAAATTGGTTTGGGTCCTCTAGTGTCCCTTTAAAAAAAAAAAATGTGGTTGCCTGCATCTGACTAAAGAGTGCACATTTCGGTGTATATTTCAGTTAGTAGTAGAATACATGTATATATTGTAAAAAGCATCACTAATTTACTAGTAGGGACAATTTAGTGGTCACTAGTAAGGCCGTACTTAAAATAATGTGTCCTGTATAGGAGACCATGGCTTCTAGTGGATAAAAACCTGTGTCTTCTAGATCTCCGTCTGCAGCCTCCCTTCACACGTACTGTGCTTAGTTCTTGACGTCGAGACTTTAAAAACACATAACCTACTAACAATACATAAACAGGATTAGTTTTGAAACTATAACGGGTACATTTGGACAAAAGAAGACAGGAGCGAAGAGACTTGGTAGAAACGTTCAACGGCAGTGCATTAAAAGTATGCATAAAGTAAAATAAATAAATAAAAGTAAAAAAAAAAATTGAAAGTTGCAAAACAAAAGAGAAATGTGAGGAAATGCCAAAAAAGGTCATATCTGGCCTTCCTACTATCATTATTAATTATTAGCATCAAGGCATTGGTTCTTGACTGGTTAATTGTTAGTTATGTATCAGCTAAAGATATAAACAGTAGTTACTTTAAAACAGCAGCCAGCTCTCAGGATATAGAGGAGGGAGAGAAAACAAAACAATAGTCATGAATCTGAACTAAACAGCGCCATCTACAGCTCAAGTGCTATACATACATATGGTACAGTACATACTGTTGTACTTCCCAACACTACTGTCAATTCTGTGCAAAGTCGAATGCACTGTGTCAGTTGGTTGATTAAAACAAAATACTGCCTAATTGATTGCGTTATGATTATCCCAATATGTTATGGGGGTTTTTTTATAGGGAAAAAATTATATTGATATCTTGAACAGGAAACAATGTAGAATATAAAATCCTTGTCAATTTTTCCTTAGAAAAAAAATAAATATATATATACCACCGCAAAACTAGTTTATACAAGTAAGTAGTACAATAGAAGGATCATTTTAAGGAAGAATTAAAGTGTTACAATTTTATGGTTTGGACCACTTCGTGGACATTCCATTACATTGTAATCTCAATAGATAGCGAGAGAATGGACTTAATATATATTCATTTTATACAAAGAAAATTCAGCACAAAAAAAAGGACCCATGTGGGTTTAGTCCTGACATAACAGTTTATCTTTTGTTTTTTTGCACAGTAAGGAATAATGCTTTTGACATCTTAGCTTAATTCTTGTCTCTGCAGCCATTCTCTCTGAAATAGCAGACTGTGGTCCAGCAAATTACAATTAAAATTGGCACTGTTGGCAGACATGAATCAGTTGCTGCCAAAAAGAACTACAATTATTTTCACAGGGAATTAATTTAGATGTTGGCTGTAAGACCGAGGTCACATCTTTTATGGCAGGTACAATTTAAATATATATTTAAACTTTTTTATAATGCTTTTTGGCTTAGGCTATTGTTATATCATATTTTACCTAAACAATACAGTATGTTCCAATTTTTCTTTTCAAACATACTGTTAGGTTAAAACAGTGAACACTGGCTTGCGCGATAAAAAAAAAAGCAAAAAAAATGCAAGCTAAACAACCTCTGTAGGTCAATCCAAACGCTAATATATTTGTCTAAATCCTGCTATGATTTACGGAGGTTTAAAATGTAACAAAATAAACTGAAATGGTTCCATACTGATCTAGAAATTAACCTTGTGAGTGCTGGCGCAATGAAACTATGCAGACAACTTATGGTACTATAAGCAGTAAAATGGTTTATTAAAATGACCAACATTATTATTACCGCCTCTCTGTTCACTGATAAACTGTTTACTTACAGTTTAATGGTGAACGAGGGTCCCCTCTGCTTCTTCTCTGGTTAAAACTTCCATGTTAACCCGAGCAGTGATGGGGTCAGTGATAGGCTGGGAGAGTCTCAATGTAACATAACGGACGATTGCATGTACGTATTATTGTAGCCGTACAAAGAATGGCCAGCAGTTATAAGCTGAGAAAGATCATGTGACACTCTCAGCCTATCACTCTCCCTTCATGGAAACTGTGGATAAGGGTGTAAAAAAAAAAAAAAGTCACGTTAGTTTATTTCTACCTACCACACATAAAATGTGTCCATATATTCATGGACAAGAAAGCCAAACTATATTATTACTTTTAAATTTGATGTGCGATCAAATTTAAAAGTTACTTTAAATTTAGAATTATTTATGACCCACTAAAAACAGTTGCCAAGAGCCTCAAAATTCAACAAACGTATGGAATTAAGGCACCACTACCACTACATAACCACTGCAGACTGCTGTTAGCTCTTATGCTATACAAGGAGTTCAATTTTTCTCTGCGTGATAGTTTATTATACCTTTTATTATATACATAGTTTATGTCCAATCCCAGACTAAATGCCTTTTTATTGCATTAGGTGAAAACTTCTAATTAAAAAATCATGTGAATTATTAGATAAAGCATTAATTCACTAAAGCGTCCTTATTTCAGAAATCTAACCA